AATTATCAGTAATTTTTATTTTACTCTTTATATTTTTGGGTGTATTTTAATTTTTACCATGAAAACCTTATTTAACCAGAAAGGGAAAAAGAACAAACAAACCCTATCCTTTCAAAAAGAGGAAAGAAGGGCACTTGATTTTCTCTAATTTTTCTCTTAAAAATTCAACAACTCTAAGTGCTCATATATGCCAGGCACTGTATGGCAGTCTGCCATTTTGAAGGTCAGATCCCTATGAGCAGAGTTGAGTGTCTACATTAGGACGTAGGAAAAAATGGGGCTAGAAAGAGAGATTCAGCCAGATTGTTCATGGCATTCCAGTACTTTGGGAGGCCAAGGTAGGTAGATTACGAGGTCAGGAGTTTGAGATCAGCCTGACCAACATAGTGAAACCCCCGTCTCTGCTAAAAATACAAAAATTAGCAGGGTGTGGTGGTGCATGCCTGTAATCCCAGCAACTCAAGAGGCTGAGGCAGGAAATTGTTTGAACCCAGGAGGTGGAGGTTACAGTGAGCCGAGATCACGCCATTGCACTCCAGCCTGGATGACATAGAGAGACTCAGTCTCAAAAAAAAAAAAAAAAAATGAAAAAAGAAAAGAAAAAGAAAGGAAGAAAGAAAGAGAAACTAGGAATGTAGCAACTGCCTATTGAAAAAAAAAAAAGGTAGACTTTGATCCCATCCTTGTTCCTACTCTTTGGAGGAAATGACTAAGCACCACTCCATCTTTGATATTACCGGGGAGCTATCTCTAAATTCTGAAGATTAAGCCAATAAAATGTAAGTATTGAAATTCCCACCTTTCTGGACAAGGTCCATAGAGATAGGAGCAATCTGTACCAAAGCTGTGTCAGACATAACAAAATCACAGGCGCTTCAGACAGCAGGAAGGGAAATGTGGTTAAAAGAGATGGACTGTTAGCTGGGTGTGGTCACTCTGACCTGTAATCCCAGCACTTTGGGAGGCTGAGGCAGGCAGATCACTTGAGGTCACAAGTTCAAGACCAGCTTCATCTCTATAAATAATAATAAAAAAAAAAAAATTAGCAGGACTTGGTCGTGAGTGCCTGAAGTCCCAGCGACTTGGGAGGCTGAGGTGGGAGGATGGCATGAGCCTGGGAGGTGGAGGTTGCAGTGAGCAGAGATCACACCACTGCACAGAGCCAGAACTTGTCTCAAAAAAAAAAAAAAGGTGTACTTTTTACCAGAGTGAGGCAAAAAGGGATCATGAGAAGTCATCTTGTCCCCCTCTCTATTGCAGACAGGAACATCTTCTGCAATATCTCTAATGAGGTCATCTAGCTTCTGGGAGCACATCAGATTTGCATCATTAAGATGCTGCCCAAACCCAAATTTCATGATTTTTTGCCAAAAACTTCTGATTGTTTATGCTGGTGAATTATAGCACCTACTGAAAATAATAATCATGTGAGACTCTTCTCTTTCTCTCACCAACAGCATCCAATCACTCACCAAATTCTGCCAATCATATCTCCTGAGTTGCATTATTTAAATTTAGGTCTTCGGGCAGGGAGTGGTGGCTCACGCCTATAATCTCTGCCTTTGGGAGGCCAAGGTGGGCAGATCACTTGAAGTCAGGACCGGCCTGGCCAACATATCGAAACCCTGTCTCTACTAGAAATACAAAAATTATTTGTATTTTAAAATAATTTGTATTTGCCTGTTGTCTCAGCTCCTCGGGAGATTGAAGCAGGAGGATTGCTTGTACCCAGGAGACGGAGGTTGCAGTGAGCCAACTGCGTCACTGCACTCAAGCCAGGGTAACAGAGCGAGATTCTGTCTCTAAATAAATAAAGTTAGTTCTTCATTGTTTTTCACTCCAATTACCGTGACAGGTCCCTTCCTCCAGTCCATTTCCCTCCCAATCTATGCTGCCATCAACACACACTTGGGCCGGGCATAGTGACTCATGCCTGTAATTCCAGCACTTTGGGAAGCCGAGGTGGGTGGATTACTCGAGGTCAGGAGTTCAAGACCAACCCGGCCAACATGGTAAAACCCCATCTCGACACAAATTATCTGGGTGTGGTGACAGGTGCCTGTAATCCCAGCTGCTCCAGAGGTCGAGGCAGGAGAATCTCTTGAACAGGGGTTGCTGAGATTGCAGTGAGCCGAGATTGTGCCACTTCACTCCAGCCTGGGCCACAGAGTGAGACTGTGTCTCAAAAGACAAAACAAAACAAAACACACACACACACATGCTTGATCAAATAACTTGCCTGCTTTAAATATTTCAGATCTAAGTCACTTAGACCCTTCATAGTCTGGTCCTGCCTGATTGCTTCTACAGCCTCTTTCCCTGACATATCCTGGGAACATGCTGCATTCCAGCCATTTCAAACTATTTCGAGTTCCTCTAATAGCCCTGACCCTCTGACATCGCCTTGCTTTTAGTTGTGCTGTTTCTAATGCAGTCCCCCATTCATTTGATAACCTCTGTTTGTTTGCCTATCAAGATTCAACCAAGGGGTCCACATCCAGGAAACAACCACTGATCCCCCAAATCTGAGTTCTAAGTCCCCACTCTGTGTTCGTATAGTCCTCACCTGCCTTAGCATTCATTTAAGTGCTGTAGCTGTTTAAATGTCCATCTCACTCACCATACAGAGAGTCCTGAGGAAGGGACAAAGTCTTTTATTGTTATACAGGTCTGTCCAGGACCATTCTTTTCCACTGGGAAAGTGCTGCTCCTTTATCCCATGTGGTTCAGCTGAGACAATTAATCACACTTCCCTGTCTACCTATTTGCAACAGCCTTGGGCATGTGACCCAGGCCTGGCCAATCATGGTGCCATATCTTCTTAATAACAATGTCTCTTCTAAGCACAGGCAAATTGAAGAGTATTTTTGTGACATTAATAAGTGGATTCAGAAACAGAAGATTCTTCTTTTACTTTGGAATCGAAAAATGACAGTGGTCCTTGATCATCAGCAGCCATCTTTCTACTCTCATGAAAGACCATGTCCACAGATTAAGTTAACCCTAGAGAACGTACAGTGAGAATATGGAAATAGAGCCTAAATAAATTTTTTTTTGCATATGAGAAGCAAGAATGTTCTGCATTTTCCAGTTTATAAGCCAAAAAATTCTCCTTTGTGCTTAGGCGTTTGAGTTACATTGTGATACTTGCAACCAAGAATCCTGACAAATACATCTTTGGAATTTGTATCCTCTCTGAATTACAGTGACTGGTACATAGGACTCAATAAAAATATGTTACATGGATGAATGAACAGCTTAGCAAAAGGTCTGGGAATGACCTCTGTGTAAAGTGAATTTCTTCTGCCCCCAAAACTGCCTAGCATCTGCTGTTCATCAACAGTGCACCCACTTCTTGCAATTTGATGTAGAGAGGCCACACCATCTGTGTCTACATGTGGTTACTATACTTATGTAGTTAGCAAGTGGCCGAAACGTCTATTAATCTGTAAACACTTGGAAATAATCCAGTTTGTATTCTTATTTTCCTGCTTTAAAGTGCTAAATGAACCAAAAGTTAGGAAAGCTCTCATCAGAAAAGCCATCATGCCTGATCCAATTCACTGAACAAAAGATTTAGGAGCTCTCCATCTAATATTAGTCTTTGAAAAAGTAGCCTTGACTTAAGTGTACTTGAGCCTGTGACTGTGGGTGAGAGTGTAAGTGATGATCTTCCTTCTTACAGGTACCAGTCGGGTACATTCTCAAGTGTCTAGCTACCAAGGACTCTGCCTCAAATGGAAGAAGGCAGAGCTTCCAAACCATTAGTAAGTTCATCTCTTCCCTTTTTTTTTTTGGAAAATAAAAGGTGGGCTTTTTTTTTTTTAATGAGCAAATTTTGTTCAATTTCAAAATGTTTTTCTCCATATAAGGTAAATGTTCTATTCAAAGTTATTCTCTTTTTAAACACAGCAAATCAAATCTTCTTTTAACACACATGTGAAAGTCATAGCATTTTATGTTCTAAAAACAAGGTTCTCTACATGAGAAACAATTCTGCTTGAATCCACTTAACTTACACAAATATTCAGCAAGGTCAGCAAGGATGCATCTGAAATTTTTTCTTTCAGTTATTTCTTAAAGTCAATAACCTAACATTGACAAAAATGTGGTGTATTTTTATAGCAAAAAATAACTGTGTCAAGAAAAATGAAAGCAAAAATTAGAACTGGCTTGTTCGTGTGCTTTTGAGGGGTTAGTAAAATCTAAGAGTATATGATGGTTTCTGTTTGAAAATGAAGGGTCATGAACAAGCCAAAACCAGGTATGACCCGTTCCCAGCCGGGAGTGAGAAGGAGGAGTCTCAGAGAAAGCAGTGGGTCATACAGTGATTTTGAAGTTTTCACAGAGTTCTCACATTTACAAAGAAAAGTCAGAGATTGCAGGGATTTGGAATAAGGTGGAGAGGATTTGATTGCTTTCTGTAAACACTGCGAAGAATCCGAGAAAGCCTTTTTGTTCCTGGGAAGGGAGTAGATGAGAGACTGAGTAGACGGGGGAGAAGGAGGGAAAGGAAACCACCAGCAGGCAGATGCAGGGGCTAGACAAAGAATTTATAAGAACAAGCCTACTGGGTGGGCAACAGTGGTTCACACCTGTAATCTCAACTATTTCAAAGGCCGAGGCAGAAGGATCACTTGAGCCCAAGAGTTTGAGACAAGCCTGGGCGACATAATGAGACACTGTCTCTACAAATATATATATTTTAATTAGCCAGGTGTGTTGGCACACACCTGTGGTCCCAGCTACTTGGGAAGGATGAGATGAGAGGATCACTTGAGTCCAGGAGGCCAAGGCTGCACAATAAGCCATCATTGTGCCACTGCACAGCAGCCTTGGAACAGAGCGAGCCTGTTGAGCCTATCTCAAAAAATAAACATGCATACATACACACATACATAAAATGACAGCTAAAAGTCATATATATTGATGGCATAAAACATTAGAAATGTAGATGCACTGTGGAATGGCTACATCAAGCTGATTAGCATGTGCCTTACCTCACAGGCTTATCGTTGATTTGTGATGAGAACACTTAGAATCTACTCTTGGCCGGGCGCAGTGGCTCACGTCTGTAATCCCAGCATTTTGGGAGGTGAGGTGGGCAGATCACGAAGTCAAGAGATCGAGACCATCCTGGCCAACATGGTGAAACCCCGTCTCTACTATAAATACAAAAATTAGTTAGGTGTGGTGGCATGCACCTGTAGTCGCAGCTACTTAGGAGGCTGAAGCAGGAGAAATGCTTGAACCTGGGAGGCGGAGATTGCACTGAGCCGAGAACCCACCACTGCACTCCAGCCTGGTGACAGAGCAAGACTCTGTCTCAAAAAAAAAAAGAAAAAGAATCTACTTTAAAGTTTTATTTTAAGCTATGTTGCTCCATCTCCCATTGTCTTAAGGACTTTAATTTACCATACATATGGAGGTCTTTTGTGATTAAAACAAACAAAACATTAAAAAAAGAAAAGAAAAGAAATAACCACCAGAGAGGCTGGTGTGGAATGTGGAATGGTAACCTTTCAAAACATAGTGGAAAGAGGGAAAAGTTTATAAGCGCAATTGTGAAGGGTAATAAATAACTATAGTCAGGCTTGAGCAGAGGAAATCTAGACTGAAAAAATCTATATATGCTATATAGGAATAAAAATGTATTAGAATCATACGATTATTTCAGTATGCACATCATTTGTAAATACAGCTAGAAACTGTAATTATAGAAATCATTTCACATGGTCTTTAATATTTAATTAGTCTCCCCACTGGAAATCAACCACGTAGAAAAGAAACGCTTTCTCAATAGGTTAATATTAATTACTTAACAACCCTGACATCGATATTTATGGAATACTTATGAAACAAGCTTTCATGAAGTGGAAACACGTTCATCCGTCTACTGGGAGGCTTGCAGCATTTTTCAAAGTGTCAAATTCACTTTGCGCTCTGCCTCTTTATGTTGTGAAAATTTGAAATTACTGTTGATTTGAAGGCTCTTCAAAAGGCTCTTTTTTTATCCCAGCTGAGAATAAAAAAAAAAAAAATCAGAACAGATTAATCTCGTATTCTTAAAGTATGTCACTTCCTAATCTTGCAAAAGGGAAATGCTAACCATATGAGAAAAAGAAGTCTTACGAAGTAAAAGAAACTAGAGAGGTAACACCAATGTATGCTGTCAATGACACAAAAATATAAAATTAGAAACCAGCCTTCGGAGGAAGTAGAGAAAGACAGTGAGTATCTGGTGTGGTTTGGAGAATGTTGGGAAAGATGCCTCGCCACTAGAACAACTTTGCTCAGAAGCACAACACAGCGGTGCCTACTGATCATGTATGCATTCACCCATTCTTTCAGTGATGTATATTGAATGCCCACTCTGCCCTATCTTGACCTGGGAGCTGGGTGCAATGACAAACAGAGTCCAGTCCCTGTCCTTGGGAGCTCATTGTCCAGGTGGGGAGGCACACAAGTAAAAACAGTTGCAGTACACTGTGCTAAACATATCACAGAGATACTGGTGAGAACGGGAATTTTAGCGAGGCACAGTGTCTCATGCCTGTAATTCCAGCACTTTGGGAGGCCGAAGGGGGTGGATCACTTGAGGTCAGGGGTTTGAGACCAGCCTGGCCAATATGGTGAAACCCTGACTGTATTAAAAATACAAAAATTAGCCAGGCATGGTGGCACATGCCTGTAATCCCAGCTACTCAGGAGGCTGAGGCTGGAGAATCACTTGGAATCTGGGAGGCAGAGGTTGTAGTGAGCCAAGATCGCACCACTGAACTCCAGCCTGGGCAACAGAGTGAGACTCTGTCTCAAAAAAAAAAAAAAAAAAAAAATGGAATTGTAGGTTAGGAGTGATGACAACTTTGTATGTAAACGTATGTTAAATATCAAATACACAATTCAAAACACTTTTTTCTCTTTAACATTTGCAGATTCTTCTATTAACTAATCCTGTTATGAGAGCTTATGTATAATGGGGCAAGGTACACTAAACTCCAAACCAATTCCAGTTCTGACTCTGCCCCTTACCAGCCCCAAAACCCCCAGCAAGTCCTGTGAGGCCTCAGAGCCTTAATAGCCTTTTCTACAAAATCAGTGCATTTGTCCTGATGATCTATAAGCTACTTGTCCAGCTTGACGGTCTAAGAAGCTTCATTTAAAATGTAAATGTTATCCTCAAAGGGTGATGCATGAAGCCAGTGGGACTTTATTGTGCATTAGTTAATTAAATTAGATAACCAGTCACCTCGCAGAGCCCTGAGAAAAAGGGACACAGGTAAGATTGATCTCAAAAGATGGGGGAAGAGCTCTAGATGTGGAGTGGGTAAGAGAATTGGAGGTCTTGGCAAATAGAGGCAGTGAAAGGCATTGAGCCCCTGGAGGATGTAACAGGGAGGAAGGAGACCCACAGACAAATTTTTAACACATTATAGGAAAGCGTTTTCAACCTTGCCTTCAAAATAAAGCATTAGAACATATAATATGATCAAAAGCTGCAACAGCTTCAAACTATCTATATAGTAAGGGCTTGGGCCAGCTGTCTGGTTGAAAAGAGCACTCAGGGAACGTTCTTGAGGGTATGTTTGCATCACATCTGCACAACCCACTTTTACTTGAACTGTAAGTTTATCTAGGATGGTGGATATGTAGGGGAGTGAGGATGAGATTATATGGGACAGTTTAGGGCCCAGCCAAGTGACTCCCTTGATACTGAGACTGACCAAAGAAAAAGAAAGGAATTGAAAATTATCTTCCTTTTCCTTAGAAAGCACCTTCCACATTTCTACTCAGCTCAAGCAGTTAGCTGAGACTTCACCCCTCTGCTCACCACATACCTTCCCACACTGACCACATCAATATGAGTAAGAGAACTGATCTGTGCTTTCCAGGTTCCCTGACACACAAAAGCCCCTGCTTATGTGCTATGAGCTTAGCAGTCCTGGCAAAGGACTGCTAAGGAAAGGCAGGTTAAAAAAAAAAAAGGAAAGGAAAGACAGGTTGAAGCCAGGTGTGGTGGCTCATGCCTATAAACTCAGCACTTTGGGAGGCTAAGCTGGGTGGATAACTTGAGGCCAGGAGTTCAAGACCAACCTGGCCAACATGGTGAAACCTCATCTCTACTAATAATACAAAGAATTAGCCAGATGTGGTGGTGCATACCTATAATCCCAGCTACTTGGGTGGCTGAGGCGCAAGAATCACTTGAACCTGGAAGGCAGAGGTTGCAGTGAATTGGGACACCACTGCACTCCAGCCTGGGCGATAAAGGCAGGTTGCATTCTGACCTAGTTACCTGCTTTTGGTCTTTTTGCATAGCTTAGCCCAAAAGTTTTGTTCTTATCATATTCACTTCTAAGAATAGACATTTTTACAATGTTTTACCTTAGTGTATTATTTTCCCCAACCAAAGATAACTGACTTCTCAGGGTCATACAAAGAGCCATGTCAATGATGGCTAGAGTTAAGTAAAGGAGATCTGATGGCTAGTGGAAATGGAGGATCCTGTGTACAAACGAGGTTTGAGCAGAGCCATGTTGAGTCCTGATAACCCACTGATCCATTGTTGGTCAGTTTCACATATCTACAAGAGTGCACAACTCTGATTCCAAGTAGTTGTGGAATAGCGTTCATATTTCACACACTACATGTTAGATTATATTTGTCCTAAGTAAACATCTGACAGCAACCTGTTTAAAGTAATTTGAAAGATGAGATGCCCCCAAATAAGTTCTTCATTTGAAAAAAAATAAAAACTATATCCACATCCAGTTGTCTCTTTTACACAAACCGCTCTGGTATGACTGAAGCACACATGTGTTCACCTATGATTATGTACCTTTATTTCTCACATCCAGTAGGGTCATTGCATGGGTCAAATCTTTGCATGTTCAAGGTCCCGGAAGATGCCTGGCTTTCCTCAGAATAAGGCTGCTCCGTTTGCTTTCCTGTTTGGGGTCAACCGTGATTCCTATAACCCTGATTCCTGCCTCCCTTCTTTCTCCAGAGCTTGTTTCATCAAACGCCCCTACTCTACTATCCTATATCCTCAACCACCCTCTCCTTTATCTTCCCCTCAGCCCGTAACAATGCTTAAGTCTCTTACATCCAAATAAAAACTGTCCCTTTCTTCTGTATTCTCCCACTAGTTACCATCTCATCTCTCTTCTTCGTGTATAAACTTCTTTCTTTGTTTTCTTTTCTTTTTTTTTTTTTTTTTTGAGATGGAGTTTCGCTCTTGTTACCCAGGCTGGAGTGCAATGGCGCGATCTCGGCTCACCGCAACCTCCGCCTCCTGGGTTCAGGCAATTCTCCTGCCTCAGCCTCCCAAGTTGCTGGCATTACAGGCACGCGCCACCATGCCCAGCTAATTTTTTGTATTTTTAGTAGAGACAGGGTTTCATCATTTTGACCAGGATGGTCTCGATCTCTTCACCTCGTGACCCACCCGCCTCGGCCTCCCAAAGTGCTGAGATTACAGGCTTGAGCCACCGCGCCCGGCCTCTTTGTTTTCTTTTACTGTTTTTATAGCCACATTTTCATTAATCTTTCACAGGCTATTATCCTATTGCTATTTCTGCTAACAAGCAGGCTCATGAATACATGAGCATCAAGAGCAGCTATGGGGCGGTGATGACCAGACTCAGAACCTGGTTAACACGTTTATGGATGTCAAAAACATTTCAATGTGACAAAGGAAGTGGCTTCCTAAGCCCCAAATACCTGATCTCTGAATAGAATCTATGATGATGAGCACTGAGCTGAATAGTTCCAGTGGTGGTCTCCTGATTCATGCTACTCTAGCATTTCCAACCATTTTTAAGTCACCTTATGTTTTTTTCCAAGACAGAGTCTTGGTCTGTTACCCAGGCTGGAGAGCCGTGACACGATTTCAGCTCACTGCAACCTCCACCTCCTGGGTTCAAGCAATCCTCCTGCCTCACCGTCCCGAGTAGCTGGTATTATCGGTATGTGCTACCATGCCTAGACAATGTTTGTATTTTCAGTAAAGATGGGGTTGGCCAGGCTGGTCTTAAACTCCTGACCTCATGATCTGCCTGCCTCGGCCTCCCAAAGTGCTGGGATTATAGGCATGAGCCAGCGTGCCTGGCCCTCATTTCTTATATAAAATTCTCTAATTATGTAAAATCCTCTAATGCTTCTAACGCCTGCCTTGTTTTCCATCTCCTATATTGAGCCCTGACTAATAACAGTTCTTGAGACTGGAAGTAGTTATAGACAGCAGACTCACCAACAAGGATTTGGGAATGGTTATCTGATTTGGTTGGGTTTGAAGACAGGGCTGATTCAATTCCCACTGAAAAATGGGAAACTGGCAGCCCAAGGTACAGTTGCAAAGAGTTCCTTAAACTATCACACGGCTGGTGGGCTTACATTAAGTGCCTATTGAAGCATGCCTTTTGCTGGATCAGTATGGTAAGAATGGGGCAACCAAGGATGATGGGACAGGCTGGATTCTTCTGAGCGAGCCCCAAAGAGCTTAAAGAAAGGCTCAGGCCTTTAAATTTCTTTAAATTCTAAGCTCAAGGCAAAATTAGAAGATTGGAGAGTTTCTGTAACTGCCATCAAACAATCTCTAATCTCTTAAAGCGAATGGGATGATGTCCAAAAATGAGATGCCAAGGCTGATCGTGCAAGTTTTAAATCACAAATTAAATTGAATTCACAGCCTCACCGGGTCCTCTATGTGCAAATTAGACTTTGGTTAAGAAAGAGTGGAACTTTGAAAATTGAAATCAGAATGTTTGTGATTTCAGATGAATATGAGTTCTTGGAGCCCCCAGTAGGCACTGTGGCTTGCTCACCAGCAGAAGCAACCCTTCTTCTCCACCCAATCATGCCTGCTCTGCTTTGTGTGGAGACCCTGCAGTGACTTCTTCAAAAGGATGCCAAATATCCTCATGTTCCACCACAATAATTTTCATGGTCTTTTGACCTATTAAAGAAAGCCAAATTCCATCATGCCTAAGAGAGACAAAATGTTTACCTATTTAAATATTTGCAATTTTCTGCTTATTCATATCTCTAGAAGACTAGGGAATATGTGTCATAATGGAGCCACATAGGGAAAAGGCTACATCAAACAGAAGGGATTATTATCATGATGGCTGCATTTGCTAGATTTTGAATCGAGTGAACTAATTCAAGAGGATGAATCTGTTCAGTTGATCGACTGAAATCTAGTTTCAAAAGAGGCCTACCCTAAGTGCTATCAAAAATTCCTTGATATAGGGCCAGGCACAGTGGATCACACCTGTAATCCCAGCACTTTGGGAGGCCAAGTCAGGAGAATCATGAGGTCAGGAGTTCGAGACCAGGCTGACCAATATGGTGAAACCTCATCTCTACTAAAAATACAAAAATTAGCCAGGTGTGGTGGTGCATGCCTGTAGTCCCAAGCTACTCAGGAAGCTGAGGCACAAGAATCACTTGAACCCAGGAGGCAGAGGTTGCAGTGAACCAAGATCATGCCACTGTACTCCAGCATGCATGACAGAGTAAGACTCCATTTGAAAAAGAAAAAAAAAATCCATGATATAATGTAGAGGCAAAAAAATTCAAAGACTTGGGGAGTTAGTAATGTTAAAATGGAAATACTATGCATGACCTGTTCAGTCACCATCTGTGTTGACCAAAAGAGACCAAAGAACATTCCCTTCACTAAGACACAGAGAAGTACATCTGTGGTTCAAGCACCAATATCCTTTAAAACATTACAGTGATTGTCTTTTTTTTTTTGAGATGGGGTCTTGTTGTGTCATCCAGGCTGGGGTGCAGTGGGGTGATCATGTTTCATTGCAGCCTCAATCTCCCAGGCTCAAGTAATCCTTCCACCTCAGCCTCACAAGTAGCTGGGAATATAGGCTCCACCACGCCCAACTAATTTTTTTTATCTTTGTAGAGATGGGGTCTCACCATGTTGCCCAGGCTGGTCTTAAACTGCTGGGCTCAAGCAATCCTCCCACTTTGGCTTCCCAAAGTGTTGGGATTACCAGTGTGAGTCACCGCACCTGCCGGTAAAGCTGTCTTATGTAGGAGATACTGCTATAGAAACAGGCTCTCTGAGTGCAGTTGTGATGATAGGATTCTGGAGTGGCAGAGGACAAATGGAAGTGGTAACTGCCTCCCATGTAAGTGGCAGGAATACAGTGGTCATCAGAATGTTTTGACCCTCAAGAACGAGGCTATGTATTACGGTCTTCCTAGGATTGAAAGAGATAGACAGACACAAAGTCAAGGAAAAAAAAAAGTCCTAAACGTGGTGGAATGATTTGAGTTCTCTCAATGGAAATTCAGATTTCCTTACCCAGTTTCCAGAAACTGATCCAATTTACTGTTTGATTCCATTGAATGAAGAAGCCAGATACCCATGAGGAAGGATCCTATGGCACTGTCCCAAGTATGAATTGTAAACTTCTTGTCTCCTTAAGAAAACTAAAGACATTTGTCAGGGTAATTGTGCACTGGGGAAAGGGAAATATCTAGACTTGGGAGGCGTTACTGAACACTGTTTCTTAGTGTTACCCTTAGGGACACCAAAGGCAACTGTGATCCATTAGTAAGAGAAAGAACTTAGGAGAGTCAAGCGATACATGCAGTTTTGGCCAGACTCCATCTTGGCCAAGGGAGTTCATGAACCCATTCTGTGGTTATTTTCCGATTCCAGAACACAGAGTTGGAATACCATTTTGGCAAGTGGCAGAATCTCCACGTTGTGTTCCTTATCATGGAAGGAAGAGACAAGTGAAGTGAACCAAACAGGGAATCAAAAACGATATCACATCCCTGACGGATTATGTGTGAATACCACTGTCAAAAACTTGAAAAATGAAGATAGGGGCAGCAGTGACAGCATAGTTTTAGATCTCACTGAATTCTTCCATAAAAACATACAGAAAAATTGATGTCAAACCAGACACAACCAATATTTACAGCAAAGCTAAGTGATGAGGTATCCCCATAAACCCCAAAACACAAATGAGTGGGGGAAAAAAACGCCAATAGTAACAACAAGATTTACATGTTATCAGCGCCTGTGTTGGAGAAATCAGAGGAAAGCTACAACGATGCAACTGATGAACTGAGAATTCCCCAATAAGGCAACAGATACTGACTCCAAGTGCAGCGGGCCAGTTTAGGAAGAGCGGTATACATTTCAATAGTGGGTGAATGTAAGGGGCCAGGAGTAAGGCCTTCAAGGCACTGGAGCAGTCAAATCCCTCTGAACTCTTCAAACAGACCCAACAGGGCTTCCTTTCAGAACAGAACCACGCAGGATAAACTTCTGGGAGTGGAATAGGACAAAGGCAGGGTAGGAGCAACAGAGTTAAATGAAAAAGAAGGTCCAGATTGAAGGACAGGAGGGGAAAAGAGCCAGGAAATCTCAGGAAACAAATGAAAAAAGAAAAAAAAGAGAGAGAGAGCTCTGCAAAGTGAACAAAATCTGATCTCAAGCAAGCCTCCTTTTAAAAGTTCAATAAAACCAAAACCAAATTTACATTAAAATGGTTAACAAACAAAAAAAGTATCAAGATCAAATATTATACAAAGTTTCAATTAAAAGGTGAAGAAAACTAAGAAAAGAAGGAGAAGGAGAGGAAAAGAAGCAAGAGAATAATATCCCTATAGACAATGAGAGCACATGCTCAAAAACAGATCAACTCAGGAGGCTGAGGCAGGAGAATTGCTTGAACCCAGGACGCAGAGGTTGCAGTGAGCCAAGATCATGCCACTGCACTCCAGCCTTGGTGACAGAGCGAGACTCTGTCTCAAAAAGAAAATGAGCTGAAAAAAAAAAAAAAAAACAAATCAGAATTAGAACTCAGAAACAACATAACAGACCTCAAGGAAAAACTACCAATAAAAGGAAAAAACTTTTTTTTAAAGTAAAGATTACCATAGGGGAAAATAAAAGCAAATAAATATGACTAGTATATAATAAATCAGAATTAGAAAAACTCATAAATGACATAACAGACCTCAAGGAAAAATTATCAATAAAAGGAAAACACTTTTTTTTAAGTCAAGATTAGCATAGGGGAAAAACAAAAGCAAATAAGCATGACAAGTAATGCCTTAAAATTGGAAGGTAGAAGGAATGACAAATTTTACAATAAAAAAATTAATGTCAAGAGAAAGTGACTAATGTTGATGACGGGCAGATAAAATTCAACATATGGATAACAGGAGTACCTGAAGAAACCCAAAGCAGCAGAGCAGATCAGATACAAAAGTCTTTCCTGAAATAAAAAATAACAATATTTGAAATTACATACTGAAAAAGCACAATGTGCCTAGTAAAACAGTTATGCCATTTATATCATTATCTCTTTTATAATAAATTCTCAGCTTTTTTTTTTTTTTTGCTGTGGCTCACTCCTGTAATCCCAACACTTTGGGAGGCCGAGATGAGCAGATCACTTGAGGTCAGGGATTCGAGACGATCCTGGCCAACATGGTGAAACCCCATCTCTGCTAAAACTATAAAAATGAGCCAGGAGTAGTGGCAGGTGCCTGTAATCCCAGCTACTCAGGAGGCTGAGGCAGGAGAATCGTTTGAAACCGGGAGGCGGAGTTTGTGGTGAGCTGAGATTGCGCCACTGCACCCCAGCCTGGACGACAGAGCAAGACTCCATCTCAAATAAATAAATAAATAAATACTCTCTGTTGTAATTATTGACGTGGTTTTTGTCTCCTGACTGGACACTGACTGATACAGAAAATGGTACCAGGAGTGGTCCCAGGACATAGACCCTAGGATCTCAAAGATTTGATCTGGAGATTGAGTTTTGGTCATGTCCATGGACTGGAAAAAATGCTCAACTCTTCATTAATAAAAAGTGGAATCCTCAGTAATCCATGGCCGGCAGTGGCATTGACAATTAATAAAATTATCATCTCTGGTTGATGTGATGTCTACTGAAGCATTAAGTCATATTCTAGTAAAATGACTGAGCTGTAAGAAGAAAGAAAAAAAAATCTTTCAGGCATCTAGGCAAATAGTGCACATGACTCCAAGGGAAAAAAAATTATATTATCATCAGATTTTTCAACAGCAATTTTTTATGCCAGAAGAAAATGGAGTAACGTACTTAAGATCCTAAAAGAAAGAAAACGTGAGCCAAGGATTTTATATACAGCAAAACAGACCTATAAATATCAAAGGAGCAGGCAAACTGTTACCAACATGCAAGAACTCAAGGAATATTGTTCCCATGAGCCCTTCCTAAGAAACTACTACCTCTGAGCTGACCAGCATGGTAGCTACTAGCCACATACGGCTATTTCTATTTTAATTTGAATGAACTAAATGAAGTAAAATTAAAGATTCAATTCTTTGGTCAAACTAGCTATATTTCAATGCTTAAGAGCCACATGTGGCTAGTGGCTACCACATTGGACAGTATAGATATGGAGCATTTCCATCATCACATAAAATTCTATGGGATGGCACTGTACTAGCTTACAAGCTTCAGACCACCAAAATGACTGGAGAGTCCTTGACATAAGAACTAATGGTGGGTACTGGATGTATATTTAATTGCATAACTAAGACTAAATAAAGGCTGAAGGAGAGAGATTACATTATATATCTACATAATCATGCAAGTTAGATATATAAAAACCATCAAAATGACGGAGATAGAACTAACACAGGCAAAAATAAAAATATTTTTAAGTTATGCCTTCAGTAATCATAATTCATGATGGTAGTCCTAGTATTGCTATTCTGAGACTAATATATGTGACAAAGCAAATAGATAATTATAGGATATTCTACTATCATGTCCTTGAGAAACAGGCTTCTCGATGTGGAAGAAAGGAGATACAGGTGTAGTATAGAAGAGGTTTAGGTAAAACAAACCCTATAGCCTGCATATAAATCGGAAATATCAGTCCCAACTAGAAACCATGATCAGCCCAGTAATAATGAGCTTCCCTTGGGTAGACTGTAGTTTTGAAATACCATTTCCCATTTAAGGAAACCATAGGTTTTTGGAGAAATGGCTTACGAGATGTGCCTTGAACGTGTTGATAAGCCAGACAGCAAAGCCTCTGTCAAAGACCACTGGGATCACGTCAGAAAGATTCAGGAGGCAACTTGAAGAGGCTCCTATTCACCAAAGATGGGATGATTTCAGCTTCAGTAAATACTGCAACAGATTAAAATTCATCAAATATGTTTCAATCCATGAGTTTATAATAATATTAACAGGAAAAGCAGTGAATTATTCACCTTGTGAGGATAAAAAGGAATCCAACTCACTTTCTTCAGAATTAAAAGAAAGAAGCCTTTGCCTATCCCACATGAACTGGCTAAACCACATGGTACATAAAGAGAAGGATCTTTTTATAAAATTATTTCAGCTCATATGAAAACAAAATGATAAAGTCACAATTTTAAAGCCTCCAATAATTAAATCAGTCTAGGCCTTGAGCATCACTAGCTGCTAAAATCATAAAAAGAGTGAAAATTAGATAGATATGATATGTCTTCTGATGAAAGACCATCACCTACAGTATTGCCAAAGGAATTGAATTTGAGTCCAGTCAAGCCTCTGGGTCCAGCTGCCAAGCCACAGAAAATCAGAGGATAGAGAAACACATTGAATTGCTCCATGCATGTGCAATTTAAAACTGTAAAACTTTGGGAAACAGTTCAAATGGGCTGGCATAAATTGTAAGAAAAAAAGGAGGCACAAAGAGGAGCCTTAGGTTAAAAGTGACTGAAACATATAAACTTTAAAATGGGCATAATTCAACTATAATATTTAATGATGCACATTTAGATGATAAAAGCTTTACAAATGCAAGGAAGTGATCACTTCATAGAATTTAAGATCATTGCTACTTTTGAAGGGAAAGCAAGTGCTATAATTGGGTCATGGCACTTAGGGGCTTCTGGGGTGGCTGGTAAACTTGAATTTCTTGATTTGTTGGTTACAAGAACGTTCACCTTAAAGTAATTCAATAAACTATTAAAAATAAGATTTGAACCGGGGCGTGATGGCTCATGCCTGTAATCCTAGCACTTTGAAAGGCAAGGCGAGATCAAGATCATCGTAAAACCCTGTCTCTTCTAAAATACAATAATTAGTTGGGCATTGTGGTGCACAACTGTAGTCTCAGCTACTTGGGAGGCTGAGGCAGGAGAATCACTTGAACCCAGGAGGCGTAGGTTGCAGTGAACCGAGATTGCACCACTGCACTCCAGACTGGTGACAGAGTGAGACTCCCTCTCAAATAAATAGATAAATAAGATTTGAAAGATGCTGGAGTCATTATTTTTGTCATAGTCCCATTTAATTCACCACTATGGCCACTGCTAAAAACGAAAGGGTTTGTTTTGCTTTCTTTTGTTTTTTAAAGACAGGGTCTCACTCTGTCACCAACACTGGAGTGCAGTGGTGCAATGATAACTCACTGCAGCCTCAAAACTCCTGGGTCAAACAATCCTCCTGCTAAAACCTCCCGAGTAACTGTGACTACAGGTGCAAGCCACTGTGCCTGGCTGGAGTTTTTGAGAATAACAATGGATTCTCTTAAGTTTAGTTATGTGGAGCATATCAACTGCAATTACTTTTTCAAATACGTTCTCTTCACTAGAATAAATCAACACAGCCTTGGCAGTTGGAAAGCAATTATTGATCTGATAAATGCTTTGTTCTCTATCCCAATAAACAGAAAATACCAGAAGAGTTTGCTTTCATCTGGCAGGAAGGCAGTTCACCTGCACTATTTACCTGAAGACCACAGCAACTCTGGCTGTGTAATAATTTAGCCAATAGGCCATTGATCGCCTCCCAATCGCATGAGACATCATGGCAGTTCAGTACATTGATGGTATCGTACCCTTAAAACACTGTAAGTAAAAAGCAGCTGTAATCCTAGACGCCTTGATGAAATGCATGAACATAAAAGGGCATGAGGGAAACCATATGAAAATCCAAAGCTCTGCCACCTAAGTACAGAGATGCTCAGACGGCATCTTAGGATTTCGGAGCAACTCATACCACAGTTGGATAAGCTGCTGGGCCCATTTACCAAATAACACCTAAGGCTGCCAGCTTTGATTAGGTACCCAAGCATGTAACAACTCTCCAGCTGGTCCGGGATGCAAGCTATCTAGCAGCAGCATGGCACTCAAAGTGTATATGACAGATGAGGACACTGGACAGATAGCTCTGAGAGAATAATCAGAACACAGGCACCTGGGGGTTAGAGCAAAGCCAAAAAAAAATTATGATCAAAGAGATCAGAAACTCAGCCACTCTTCCACAAACACATAGTCTCTTTTTAAGAAACATCTATCTTTTCGCTGGTAGAGACTCACTGCTTGGCCGTGGGACACCAAGAGACCACGTGATCTGAGCCTCCTGTTATTCACTGTTGTTGTGTAACATGTCAAGCCATCAAATTAGGCATGCATAGCAGTACTCCAAAGTTAAGTGGAAGTATGGAACGTGAGATTGTACTAAAGGAGGTGGTAAAGGCAGTGGTGAGCTGTGGGTCACACTCCCAGCACACCGACTCCAGTGGGACTGCCACCTCTTCTTTAGCTCTCTCTGAAAGCTTTGTGGGGAATTGCTTATAAAAAGTAACTCAAGGAAGCAAAAAAAAAAATCTGCAGGACTATGCACCAGCTAAAAGCGGACCACAGGAGCGTGATGCTCTACTTAAGGGTGACTCTGAAGGAGAGTAATAAAAGGTACTATCATTCTTTTAGTAGCAGAACCTCGAGTGGTATATATGACAGTCCCCTTTGCCTGGAAGGAAACAGCTGAGGTACAGAGCTACAGCAATATCTGGCTAGTGCCGATGGTTTCGCTAGATGGTTAGACTTTGGAGAAACAAGGTTGGAGGGTGGTAACAAGAA